CTCGACCTGCTGGCCACACTTCTGTCCCAGCCACTGTAATTTAAGTGCTGTTGCTAGCAGCTGAAGCAGGAGACCACCATTTGCTCTGAGCACGCTGTGGCAAGCACGGAGACTTTTCGGTTATGTTAAGCTAATGTGATTTGAAAAGGAAGAATCACTCCCCTCTTCACTGACCTATCGCAATAGGGCTAATGCTCGGTTTGGTGACACGCTGTCAGCTCCAGTACAAGCCCCTCCAAAGTGAGTGGCACATGTAAACATCACCCGAAGCTCTTCGCTGTTCCTGCAGGCTGAGTGCAACTGCAGCAGTGTTACCCAGCAGACCTCCGGAGGAGGCAAGGTGACAAAACCAGTGCTGAAGGCAGAGACCATTAGAAAGCAGAACTTGCTATCCCAAGCAGCGAGGGGCTGTGGTTTGTGGGGTCAGCATTCATCGCTCCGTGTAAAACACAGTGCAACTTTCAGAGGCTTTCTGGCCACCTTTTTCCAAGTTGGGCCTGTACTGCAGTCAGGGTTTTATCACGGCACGGGAGGAGGAGAGTGGAATGTGAGCCTGTTAACAGTTACAAAAGAAACCGCATCACAAGAGGAGTTGCTCAAGGACATTTCAGCTGCATTGCTAGTGAGTCTAAACATGTAATTTCTCTATCACTCTGTCCTCAAATTCCACTAGTATAAAGTCTGGCCTCATATCAGGTACAGATCCTAAACACCAGAACAAGAGAACAGGGTAACAAAACAAGACTGCCTGATACACAGAATGATGAAAAATGTAACTACCTCTGGGGACATCTGTGAGCCTCGACAGGTTTTCACTGAAGACAGAGATTTGCTTTCTTTGCAGCATTAATACCCCAGCACGCATAATTCTTGCTTAAACACATTGTTGCAAGTCAAGAAGTTTCAGTTTGCAGTTTGTTTCAGCAAGGGGCCAAGTTTGTTTCAGCAAGTGGCTGACTCAAGTTCAGCTTTCTAAACCTCAGCTGCTTCCTTGGGTAACAAAGCACATGCAGCTGTCTTACAGCACTATGAAAAAATCAAGTAAATGACAGACTCCCAGTTTCTCCCTGCTAAACTGTGGATTTCTCTCCATAAAAAAACCCCACCTTGATACAAATTTAAAGTGGTAACATCTATTTGCTCTTATGCATTAAGTTTAGAAAGCAGATTTATATGCCAAGACATAATATAAAAACTGCGTATTTCTTTCATATAACAAAGTGTGCAAAAAACCAAGACTTCACGTTGGTTTTTAATCCCCATAATAAACGCGCTTTTTTTTTTTCCATTCAAAGAGCCTTCGAGATATGTTTGAAAGAAAGAAAAATATTTTTTTTTCAGTTGATTACGTTTGCATTTCAATATAAACTACTTCAATTTCCCAGTGCTAACTTGAAATTATAATCATGACGTTCCATACTTGGCAGAAAGTATGGAATATATCTGTGCTCATCCACAAGTTGCAAGACTTCTGTTTAGTAAACACCAAGTACAGTATTTAAGATTTCCATTATTGCACATCACATACACAGGAAATATTCAAGTCCACCTCCTTTCCTTTATAAAAGCATCTTGATCCAATTTTAATAAAGATAGTATGATTAAAAAATTCAAATATATAGTACATTTGTTTCTGTACATGTATGTGCAAGATCTCTTGACAATAAGTGATACAAATGTGGAATCCTACAGCTTCACCATTTACACCTCCTTTGGTGAACACAACTGTGTATCACATGATGTAAGTACCATCTTTGTAGTATTTCATGGATTCCAGTTGCTGAGTCATTGCAAGGACATCCTGAAATCCTGTACTGAGCCCGGACATGTGTTGAAAATAAGCTTCCTTCTCCACTTGGACAGTTAGGTTATTTACACCAGCATCTTTCAGAATTGCTGTAACCTGAACAGAATGGAGCTGTTAACATAAGTATTACACTTTACAGGCATTTCACAGTAACTTGCAGTATTCTGGTTCTGAAATACTGTAGACTTAAAATCATCATAAAGAATCCAATTTTCAGGAAAGCAAAGCCTAGCTTCAAAGGGTTTGTCTTCGCAAGTTCTGTGTAAGGGGTCAGTCTCAATGTCCTGCCTAAGGAAGTTGTGTCTTTTTAAGGAGCACAAAACCCCAAGGCAGACAGACAGTTACAAACCCACAATTAGAATCCAAACATCTCTACTGTTTACTGTCTGTTTTGCAGCATGGAATCCACCTCCTCCTCCTTTTCCCAAGCAGACAGAGCACTGCTTTCAACAGTGACACAACCAAACACATCTTTTTTTGTTATTGTCTTGCCAGATGTTTTAGCAAACAACTCTTCAAGCAACTACTTGCAAGCCAGCAGGCAAGGGGAAGTGCAGCTTTAGACACCAGCTCTGAGATATTAACTAACAGCTATAAAAATAATCACAAACAGTAGCTTCAAACTTCAGTCTACAATGAAAAAAAGGGCCACAGAGTAAGAAATTAAGATATTAGGGCCTAAAAACCTTGCACCTTACCTGCTGTACAATTCTCTGTTCCATCACATCCGATACCACTTGCACATGTATTGTACCTGCCACAACACTTGCAGAGTGACACCAAAAATGAGGATCCCTGTAGGATATAACTCCCTCTATTTTTTGAATCTGTAAAGAAATCACATTAGCAGCTATTAATTTTCACAACATATTTTAAATTCCTGCATCTACATGAATATTGGTAGCAAATATTTCATAGGGAAACAAAGCTGTAGAGCAAAGCAGGTTTCCAGATAAGCTGTATACTGAAATACATCGTGTTGAAAGGTCACCTTGCTGCTGCTGTCAAAGACCAGAAGCTAAAAGTCAAACTAAATGAAAAACCCAGCATCGTGCAATGCTAAACAGGATGAGAGAAAACTGATTTAGTGTACCGATCACAGTAACATCAATGGACAGGACAACCAGAAAGCTCGCTGGGTGCTTCGAGGGCATCTGCTATTACACTCTACAGGATAAGCAGCTGTTTAGTTATCACAGCCGAACTTGATTCAGAGACATCATACCTTCCCGTAATCTACCATTTTTTGAAATTAATCTTTGTACTGGGTCTGTCTGGGACAGACTGAACTTCGCTCACCGCAGGCGGTAAGGTGCCGTGTTTTGGATTTGTGCCTAAAACCGTGCTGACAACCTGCTGATGGTTGTGGCTGTTGCCAAGCAGAGCTCAGGCACTGTCAAGGCTTTCTCTTCCTCCCACTCTGCCCTCACCCCACCGAGGAGGCTGGGAGTGGGCAAGAAGTTGGAGGGGACGCAGCTGGGAGAGGTGACCCAAGCTGGGCAGGGCGATCTGGCGTGCCATGTGACATCATGCTTGGCAGTAAAAACTGGGGTAGAGGAGGAAGGAGAGATTTTGGGTGTCGAGGTGGCTGCTGCTCAGAGACTGGCTGAGCAGCACTCTGCTTGTGGAAGGTGGTGCACTGCGCGGTTTTCTCCTTCTCCCTCCCTTCACCTGCTAAACTGCCTTTATATCGCTGCTTGTGGTGTCCCTGTTCTGTCCCCAGTTCCACCGGCAGTGACGGCGGCAAAGCGGGAAGGGAGCAGGTGGCTGTGTGGATGCCTGGCTGCTGGCTGGGGTCAACCTACAGCAAGCGTATTGTTTTACTGTGATGTACTTCTTAAAGTGCTTTTCCTATCATCTTCTCATGAATTGCTCTTTCCCACAGTGTTATCACACTTGTCTGCAGTCATGAGCTATCCGTAACAGCAAAAAACAGTACAAGTATTTTTAGTTGCAAAACAACTTTAAACAATAGATGTTCTAATCCTGTGAGATCTCTGTAAAATAGGTTTAAAGTAACTGGAGACATGAAGCTGCCTAAGATAACGGAAGCTGTCAGACTGAAATATTTCAGTTTAATAATTATTAAAACCAGTTATAGTTTTGCATGCTTGTATATGAAAACATTTAGAATTGTAGTCCTGACCTTTTCTAAAGCAGCATGCAGATCTTTCTCCTGTTCTGGAGGTATCCTCAACAAAAGCACTTGACAGGCATCTTTCAGCAGTGGGATAACGCTAAGAAAAATCAGTGTCGCGATAAAAAGAGAACAGAGCGGATCTGCTATGAGCCATCCAAATTGCTGAATAAATATCGTGGATACGATAACACCAACACTGCCAAGAGTGTCTGCTAACACGTGCAGAAACACACCTGAAAACAAAATAAACTGTGTGATTAAACTGAACAGTACTGTGTAAAATTTATGTTCAATAGCGGAAGCACAGGGTTTATTAAATAAAATAAACACCCCTCAAGCTAGGAAGAGGCAACTACCGACCTGGCTGGGTGCAAAATTAAACATGACATTTAGCTTTTCTAATGTTTAATTACAAATCAATGTAAAAAAAAAAGAAATTACAGTGCAGGCAGCCATGTGCAGATTAATAGTCCTTTACACTGCCTTAACAGTGGGTGGCATTCTCAGTGTACACTCGAAGGGTGCCGAAAAATGATCTCTAACCGTTTGTAAAATTAGTGCTAGTTAAGTGTCAAGATTTGAAAGAATGTTGCAAAAGTTAAGAGTATGGGCAGACTTCACAAAAATGCCAGACAACAAAATGATGTAAAATAACCCATGAAATATAAGACTGTTGGCTAAAATGCTTATGCTCTGATAAACGTACACAAAAATCCTCATTCCTTCATGGATTTTTTTCTAAGCCAGGCAGTTGGTAAATACCTTCTAACTACTAGGGGAAATATTTTAAGAAGTAGCTATGCTGAAATGTTACATATACTACCCTTCCTGGTCAGCTTCCAGTTTGATCTGAGATTTGAAAAGAAAGTTTCTTCTTTACCACCTTGCCTTCTGAATAAGAGAATCACAGAATGGTTTGGGT